AGCCAACCTCCGGGAAACCAAAGGTGGTTGGCAAAGAGCGGGCAGGTCACAGTTCACACGCCCAACACCGATATAATGTAAGGCAGACGGCAAGGCTGGCTTACTCAAGACCACCAAACACACACTGACGATGGAAGCGAGAAGCGATCAATAGAACTTGGTCCATGAACCCGCCCCCTCTTCGTCTTCCCTATCCGTAGGAGATGATGAAAGCAATAGTATATCTGGACCCTGAATCTTTCGGCATATAAACCATATGTTTAGAGTAGTAGCTAGTCGTACACATAATCATGGACCTGATATAAAATAAATTAAATGTTACTGAAACTTAGTAAGTAGCACTATGATAAGTCACGTTTTGACAAATACTCCTGCGTATGCAAGCTCGGAAAGGCATTAACCAGAACGAGTGTGTCCTAAAACGGATCGGTGCATTATGAGCTACTTCTGTATATTCTCGATCAACAGCCGACAACACAGCGAGCCCGTAACTCAATGGTTAGGGCGTCTGACTCCAACCAGAGAGGCCGCGGGTTCGAATGTCGAGTGTAGCAGCAATCTCAGCGGAACCACCATAGTGAGGTATCGCTAGCTGACGATGGATAATAAACTATAAATATCGATCCGAACTTCTCTCTTTCTCTATGGGTAATACCTCAAATAACCATATATTTAACTTTGTTTTACAGGCTTCCGATGCTGCGCCAGATTCTTTTCTTTTTCATGCCGTCAGATTAAGAGGAGTGCGGAGAAGAGTTCAAGGAGGATCCTACACAAGTTCGAATTAGTGTCCCGGGGAAAAAGTCCAAAGAAATATGACGCTCTTAAGGTCTTTAGACCGCGGGTGTTGCGCAAGCTTTGCTTTTCTTTAGCAACTATCTAAAAGAGCTTCGTCGTTTAAGTTCGTGTACATAATGGTAATGTATTGGACAAGTGAACAAACTTAAATTCAGCTTCAGTAAGTAATCATTGGTGCATGAGGTTTGCGTGCAAGAAGAAAAAAATGTCAAAGCTTCAATGACTAGTCACACATACACATTGCGGAACTGACGTGAAGCGGAGTAATACCAGAAAGACAAATAACAAAAAGCAGCGAGGTTACTGTATTCTACAAATGGTTGAAAGTGTCAAGCTGTATTTAATGACGGAGAAATAGATTTTAAGATGGAAGAGGGTATTTTGACGAAATGGTCATCCCAGTCGTTGTATTTCCAAGAACATGGCTGAAAGACCGCCAAACCCATTGTTGCTGAGAGCCCAGAATAAACGAATCTTCATCAAGGGGACACCTCAAGCAAACTCCTTAGGAGGCGCCTAAGCCAAGCTGTATTGAAAAAGTCCCCAGCAGTAAATGCCTTTATACAGTTATCAAATAAGCTTATCCTACACGGGAAGCTAAAGGGCAAACTGCTAGCCCAGACCACTTCTATGTGCATCCATGCATTCACCTGCTCCTGTGGGGCAGAGTATATTGGTCACTCGAGCCGACGTCTGACCAAGAGAGTATGAGAACACCTTCTGGCTCGGTTAGACAAGGGCGAAGTATAAAGAAGTTATAGTCCTCTTTAAGCGGACATGGTCAACTCAGACCATCGCGTGGATGCCCGAGAGACTTTCTGAGTGATCTACGAGGTGCCCTCCAACTAAT